GACTAATGAGGCTGCCACCTTGAGTCCTGTGTTCACTTTTGGGTCCCTCACTACAAGGTGGACACTGAGGTGTGGGATTGTGTCCAAAAACGGCAACGGGACTGGGGAAGGGTCTGTAGCACAAGGTTTGTGAGGAGCAGCTGAAGGTGCTGGAGCCTGGACAAAAAGAGGCTCGGGGAACTTTATCACCCTCTACAACTCCCTAAAAGGAGGCTGTAGCCAGGTGGGGGCTGGTCCTCTCTTTCAAGTAACGAGCAATAGAACAAGAGGAAATTGCCTCAAGCTGCTCCAGGGGAGAATTAGATTATATTTTAGTATACAATTTCTTCGCTGAAAGGATTATCAAGCACTGGGATTGCAGGGGAAGGGGCTGAATCACCACCACCAGAGGTGTTTATAAGGCATGTACATGAGGCACTTAGGGGTATGGTTTAGTGGTGACCTTGGCAGTGCTGAGTTAATGGTTGGACTCGAGGCATTTTCCAACCTAAATGGTTCAATGATTCTGTAACACTGAATCTTGGCATAATGAGAAATAGCTCCTACCATATCAGAACCATCTAAGTCACCAAAGGAACAATGAATGTCAAATTAAGAGTACATTCAAATAAGTAAGTTGGAAATAAATAGGATTTCACATAATTTTCCAGTTAAATTGTTTAGTGAAAGAATATGTATAATGAACAAGTAGCACTTACAGAACTTCCCCCAGAACAATCACATCCACCCTGTAAAAATGCAGAAAGTATTTAAGATATCAAGAACACAGGACTGAAATGGATTTTAGTTACAACTCAAATCAATTCTACCATCCCAGGCATGCAAACCATAAAGCTACACTTTAACTGCCCAGTTTCTAGAACTGAGTCTATTTCATCTTATGCAACTATTTCTGCACTCTGATGGGGCAACAAAATGCTAATTATTTTGTCTTCAAGTTTTCTTACCTACAATTTTTACCTTAAAAACATTACCTATCTAAAGGATGAGTAAAAAATTCTGAGTAGCACCACAGAAAGACTTTTTTTTCCTAAACAGGCCAGAGCACCAGGAGTACATGCAGTACTATTTCATGTTACAGATGATACAGAAAGCACATGATTTAATCTCTGATAAAACTAACTGTTGGTGGCCAGGAGTTCATTCAGTGTCTCACTTTCCACGTTAAATATGCATGAAATTTGTTTAGCACCAAAGCAAGTACAGAAGCTACAATACACATGTCAAACAGTTACTACTGGCTACTCTGGCTTGCAGGATGTCCAAATTGTTTCCAAAAGGAAACAATGCACTGCTGAGGCTTTGGGCACAAAGGACAGTGGTGAAGGAAAACAGTTCTTGTGAAGGAAAGATAAAAGAAGTAAATTTGAGTGCCTGACATGAGCCCAGCTGAAGACTGTGGAGAAAGAAATTCATACCTGTCCACCAGACTGGCTGCCTCCTGAGGAAGGTGAACCCTGTAAATGTTACATTCACATTTAAAAATTTTTCTTTGACACATGAATTTAAATACAAAATATTGCCTTTTATTCTTTTAACTAAGTTTGAAAAGATCTGTTTAGTTGAGAAAGTAATTTTATCTGTAGTAATTTTAATGAGGATAAAATAAATCACAGAGTAGTCTGGAAGCTTAGGTATTGCCAATTTACTAATATTTTCTTGAAACATATACACTGAGGGAAAAACCCATCACAATAACAACGAAGAAGAAGAAATTTCCCACCTGCCCCCCATACTGGCTGCTTCCAGATGAGGCTGAGTCCTGAAAAATATAAAAATCACTTACTCCATGTTTAACATATATTAATTAATGCCAAATATTTATTACTTTCATTTTTCCTGGTGTTAAAACATCAGTTAATACATTAAATGTATATTTGACTACTCCACTTGCATCTGGGCTTTTACATGGAGATTTGTAAGGAAAAATGAATCAACCTTGTTCACAGTTTAAAAATTGCTGTAATACCACATGAGGCCTCCAACTTTTCTGTGGCAGATACTTGAGGTCAAAAATACAAAGATTTAGTATTTACCTGTCCACTGGAGTAGCTACCACTTTGAGAAGATGACCCCTGAAAAAAGCAGACCCAATATTTTTTTGTTTGAAATGGCTTCTGGAGAACAAGACTGTTATACACATTAAATTTTTAATTTTTAAATTCAAACAGTTTGCAATTAGATTTCACAAGGCATGATACCAGATGTCATGACAAATTCCAAGAAAGAAACAGTTTGGTGTCATTTACTCACTGGGATAATTTTTAAATAGTACAGCCATTTTTGAAGGGAACTTCAAATAATAAATAAAATAGATGCTTACATGTCCACCTGACTGGCTGCCTCCTGGGGAATAAAAATCCTGGAAAAATGTATTGAAATTAAATGAAAAAACCAAACCCCAAAAACCGGAAAGATCAGAGTGGAAGAAAAACACTCCTCTTTCCTTCTCCACATTCCTTAATTTTCTGTCATGGACTGTTCAAGAAAAACAAAAAAAATCTGCTGTCTTTCTGTATAAAACAGCACACACCCTTTCATGACTATTGATAATTGCTCTTTTGGTGGTAGATATTCTCTAGGATACAGCAGCTGAAAGAATTCTATCTCTAACAAAATAATTTCTCAGTCTGTGTCATTAGAATAAACACAGCAGGTGCCATGTAAAAATGATAGGAAAATGGAAGCCTTCATAAGTAAGTCTTACAGCACAACAAAGCAAAGGGTTGCACTTATTCTAAGTGCTGGACAAATCATGGTATTGAAGCTCTTTGCAGTCAAGCAATGATTTTAAAAGAGCAAGGTCCTGAACAAGTAAATGGTGCTATCACATTTGTGATGTGAGTTTGAAATTCAAGAGCACACCTCAGCATCAGCTGGGGTTTCTAGCAGTACTTTAACTCTTTATCCATATCCTCATTCCTGCTGTTCTTGAGGGTTTTCTGTCTCACACTGGAACTGCCTCAGGGTTTCCACAGGAGATGTAATTAGGTGCTGCTGTTGCCAAGCACTGGGGCTGGCACCTGGCAATACCATAAAGGAAGGATTGCTTACCCGTTCACTCTGGCGGCTACCAGATGGTGAGGAGGAATCCTAAAAAATATCAAAATCTTATTATTGCCATGGCAAATATTACTATTCCTTTCTAAGCAAAGGTGGGAAGAAAAAGTTCCATAAACTGTTTATGGGAAGGCTGAAGATAAAGACTGTAGGATAAGAAGTCTACAAATTCTTTCTCTGCTCATTTCTGGAGAATGGCATTTCTTTATTTTGAAAGCTGAATCCTGATATAGTGAAATAAAGGAATGAGGTCCCATCTCTACTTTCTTTCCTTTAGAATGTTTCGGGGGAAAACATCAGCCTTTTAAAAGCTTTCTTGGTTTTTAAGACCAAGATGTGGTACACATCTGTTGTTACACCTTGGTTTCTTTCAGAGGGGTTTCTGGGCCCTCTGTAGTGTCATACTTTAGCTTTCTTGAATATCCATAAGATGATTTGGTATAGAGACAGCACTGAAGTTATCAACACAGTGTACTTGTGACCAAAGTGCACAGCTGAATTTAAAATTACTTGTGGAGAGCAATTTCCTACTAAAAAGGACCCTGGAAAACACTGGAATTGTCAAATTTTATAAACAGCTTCAGCAGAATTTAAGGAAATAAATTTTAGTCAGGAGACAAGGCATCTTCTTAAGAAAAGCAGATGTTTTTCACCACACTTCATGAAACCAGACCATTCCTATGCAATATATAGATGAAGGAATTTGAATATTTTATGTCTGGCATTGGGAAAAAAAATGAAATGTAGTGCTAATTGCTAATGAAAAGAGAGAAGTAGTCATGTACTAATACTGAGTTTTGATGGAAATTGTGAAATGAGAGCTTTCTTTGTAATTGCTGCTTGTAACATCCAATTCAAAAACTGATTGTTAGAAGTCAGAAGTGTTGTAACTGCAATTTTAATTTGTGAAGTCCTTATCATGTATAGCACAATCACGTGACATCAGATAAAGTGAAGGTCTGTGTAGGTACCTACATACTTTAAAAGGTAGTGAATTATGATATTGATATTGTTGAGAAAAAATGCTTACACTATATTCAGTTTCACTGGCTCCCATGGAAGCTGAATCCTGTAAAATAATGAAAAAACATAGATTTTCATGTAAAAAGGACTCTTACATGTTCTTAATTGTGGGGGATATAAAATAGAAGAATAAAACTAACTAAATGCTTAAAATGTCCAATTTTACCTAAACTAAGAAATATGCAAGAAAAGACAAAATATGTAACTTTACCTGTTGCTTAAGCAGAAGAGGCTGGAAAAAAACCCTCCTTGCAAACATGCATTTTTATAATGAAAAATGTTTACATTAAATTAATTTGCAAAGTTATCATTCTTTATATTCAAAAATCCCCTTATTTAAACTTTTAACAGTAAGGTGTGTAAAGTAAATGCACAAAATATTTTCCTTCTGAATGAACTAACACATGAACAATAAAGGAGTTAAAGCATTGAGTAATCACAAGGCAAAGTTAAAAAAGCATACATAGTGCCTCATGTTCTGTAAATTAAGGAAACATTTCGAGTTTTTACAAAGGTAAAGAGAGACAAAAGTTAAAATGGCATTTTCATTGTCCTGAAAAATAGCATAAAAATAACTGAAACATAGAACCCAGTACACATAATTACCAACACAGCAAGTATAAGCTTTTGATGTAGGAGGAAATAACATTTACCTGGCCATAAGTCTCAGAACCACTATAAGCAGAAGATCCACCCTGTTCAGAAAACAGAAATAATTTTCATATTGTAAAAAGGCTATTTTATATATATATATATATATACTTACTGTGGGGATCTTCTTAAAAAATTATTATTTACTTAGTTATCAGATTTGTTAAGCAACTCAGAGTTATTTCTCTGTAAAATACTAATGTTACATGTTTTTTAACTCAAATTCTTATTCCATTTTTGAAGAGATCTTCATCTTGCAGGTAATTTAAACCTAGCATTGTTGAGAATAAGCCTTAAAAGTTGGAGGCACCCTACCTTGTACTTCCCCATAAACTTTCAGGCTACCTAGTTAAAAGTATATACAAATTTACTCATTCCTCAAAGAAAAGATCACTTTCATTAGAATATAGTGAGAGAGAAAATACAGATATAACTCTATATTTACTTCACCCAGGGTATTGGCCCTCTGCAACATTTACACAAAGAGTAAAAAAAGAGTATTTACCTGACCATAGGATTCACTGCTGCCATCATAAGCAGAAGACCCTCCCTGCACAGAAAATAAAAAAAAAGCTGATTAATTTGATTCTCCCAAAAAAAGTGTTTTCCATCTTTTAACGACAGAATAGGTGTGAAATAAAAGAAGTCTGTTTTCTCTACAAACAAGAAAAAACACCTACCTGTCCATAAGATCCACCAGGATAGAAGGAAGGCCCTCCCTGCAGAGAAAACATAGAAATTTACTCTTTTGTAGTTGAATGTTCTCTCAAAGAACACTTCTAGGCTGCTCCTGTGCAGGCACAGTGACCCGAATATTTACCTGGTTACCAGAGTAAGAACTGTGGGAAGAACCTGGGCCACCCTGAAAGAAAAACACAGAGCAGCTATTTTCTTGCAGATGAGAGTTTAAATGCCTGCACACCAAGTTCTCCCTTCACTCTTTCTCCCAATTTAGAGCTAATTTTTATGTGCCTAAGTAAAACTCAAGACCATTGTTGACCAGGGGGATGGGGGTCTGTATTATCCTGGTGAGGGAGGAAGAACTACTACCTGTCCATAGGATCCTCCAGGATAGAAGAAAGGCCCTCCCTGTGCAGAAGACAGAATGGGTTACTGGTTGATATCTGGCTACTCCTTCAGGGGAGGTTTTAGATGGAGCTGCTGAATAGGGCATTTTATCTGAATGTTTACCTGGTTACCAGAATATGTGCTGTATGAAGAACCTGGGGATCCCTGAAATGAAAACACAGACTAGCTATTTTCTTGCAAACAGGGTGGTGTAAATACCAATGTATCCAAATCTCACTTTAGGCTAATACTGCTAAACAAAAAGGGTCTTTTTATCACTAATTTTTTAGTTAGATGAAAGGTCATTCCATGGAAGTTGTAATGAAAAAAGACTAATGAAATTTAGTCCTCTTATCTCACAGATTTCATGTTGTAAGGTACAGACAGCTGATACAATAATTAGGTGTTATGATAGACTCAACTTTTGTGTGTTATATATTTCACAGCAGCCACTACATGGGGAATATAGGAATGAAGATTAAAGAAGTCTGTTATTATCTACAAACAAGAAAATACACCTACCTGTCCATAAGATCCACCAGGATAGAAGGAAGGCCCTCCCTGCAGAGAAAACATAGAAATTTACTCTTTTGTAGTTGAATGTTCTCTCAAAGAACACTTCTAGGCTGCTCCTGTGCAGGCACAGTGACCCGAATATTTACCTGGTTACCAGAGTAAGAACTGTGGGAAGAACCTGGGCCACCCTGAAAGAAAAACACAGAGCAGCTATTTTCTTGCAGATGAGAGTTTAAATGCCTGCACCTCTGGTTCTCACTTTATCCTTTCTCCTAGTTTAGAGCTAATTTTTATGTGCCTAAGTAAAACTCAAGACTATTGTTTTTAAAGTGGAAGAAATCTTCTGGCAGCAATTTTCTTAGCCTCCTGAAACTTGAATACTGCAAAGAAACTGCAGAAACCATTCTGTACTGTTCTCTGTTGAGCTTCACACCACCAGGCTACATCAGAGTTAATTTAATTTTTCTGCTCTAAGGGATAACAGTCAAGACTTATTTTAGTATGTCATAGCACCCACAATATTAGGAGTAATGGAACTAGGAGGATGGGAGTCTGTATTATCCTGGTGAGGGAGGAAGAACTACTACCTGTCCATAGGATCCTCCAGGATAGATGAAAGGCCCTCCCTGTGCAGAAGACAGAATGGGTTACTGGTTGATATCTGGCTACTCCTTCAGGGGAGGTTTTAGATGGAGCTGCTGAATAGGGCATTTTATCTGAATGTTTACCTGGTTACCAGAATATGTGCTGTATGAAGAACCTGGGGATCCCTGAAATGAAAACACAGACTAGCTATTTTCTTGCAAACAGACTTTTACATAAATGAGTCCACTGTGAATTTCTTTATTCTTATTCTATTATTCTATATATAATATTTATATATTAATATTTACAATATATATAAAACTTTACAGCAAACATTAAAAAAGAATGCTGGTTTCATACTTTTTATAGAGATAAGGAAACCTGTAGCAGGTTCTGTTATTTCCTGTTCAGGTTAAAAGATCTGAATAGCACTAACATTTAGTTTTACTCTTTCTAATTGCAGAATCCTGTATCATACCTTGCAGACTTTGTATTTTCATAGATGATCATGATCTTTATGGTCTTTTTAAAAACTGCCAGAATACGGGACTTCGAAAGTGTAAAGAGTATTTAGGAGAGCATATTTTTCAGCTCACTGCTTAAAGGAGAAGACTATTTACCAGTTCTTAACACTCACTCTGTTATATATATAATTTTCTCCTTTGAAACCAGATGGTTTAAATATGTACAGCTCTGACTCCTAATTCATAATATTCTCCAAGTTTGAAGAGACTTTTGTGTAACTCCCGCCTTTTAAATCTAAAAGAAAGCTTTTTGCAAAAATTTTTCTCCTCTGCTGAAGTACCTTCAAGGAATCACAGAATCACAGAACAAACTGAGTTGGAAGGGACTCCAAAGGATAATCAGGTCAAACCCCTCATCCTGCGCAGGACATTCCCAAGAGTCACACCATGTGCCTGAGAGCATTGTCCAAACACTTACTGAACTGTCAGACTGGTGCTGTGACCACTTCCCTATGAAGCAGATGACTCTCTCTTTTATGTAAGATTGATTTAGTTTATTTAGACATATACATCTACCTATATCTTGCTTTTCTATTGTTATTAGAATGTAACCTATCATGGCCAATCTGTTTACATGCTACTGTTAGCACTGTAGCTACCATGTGTAGGAGGCCCTGGACAGAAAATTAAAATAAGACCACAAAAGCAAAGATCAAGTCTACATAATATACCAGAAATTAATTTGATCAGCTGATAAGATTGCAAATTGGAAAATAAGTCTCTTGTTTATCAAAGTTGACACATCTGCATTGAGAACTGGTTTTCTAATCTGTCCAATTTTGATGTCTTATTTTCTTCATGTTGAAAATTTTTGTTGATAGCAACTAAAAACACTCTCCTCAATCAAGCTGTGCTAGATTTCTGTTGAAAACATTTTTTGCAACAATTAAAGTGTGCAAAGAAAAATGTTTATTAGAATGAAAACACTTGCGTAAAAATCTCCACCTTTTTCCTTATAAATGGATTTTTTTATACAATCATGCAACAAATAAAAAGTTTTTTCCTTAATAAAGTTTCAGTATTATTTATTTTAATAGCCTAGTTTATGTTTTAAAGCATGTAGGCCATGATTGCTGCTTAGCCTCAATTAGATCAAAGAGGTAGTATTGTACCTGACCAAAATAGATGTTGCTATATTTTAAGTTAATGAAGTTAAGTTCAGAAAGCAGTAATTTCTCTATACAATTAGTTTGTTTAAATAGCTTGGGGGCTTTTACAGAAAGAATAATTCACAACATGTTTCTTGTTGAAATCCAAAACTGAAAAAATACTACACCATTCAAGTGGGTTTGGTTACATACAGCTTCAATAAAAGATTCAGAAGTATGTATCCTGGTACAAGACAGGTTACTTTGAAATCTAAGGTGGCTTTAAAAGCCAGAAGCCTGGTAAAGCTAGCCTATAATGCCCACATAAGCACATTTCTTGGCCTTTTTCCTGGTCCAGAGTAATTGCCTAAGAGAAAAGTTTATCCAGTGCAACTGACATTGAAATTTAAGTGATTCTCTTTAGGGGAAAGGACGGTTTAAATGCTTATTTAAGAGATTGTATTTTGAAATATTTATCATATTTTGATATTTTTAGTCACAGTATTTTATTGCATCAGTGAGAAGGACAAGGAAACTAAGATGGATACAATTAAGTACTGTGGTTACTACTAGGTATATTGACTGGTTTTTGAAAACAATTAATAGATGGCACACAATAGTCAAGTGACAGGGCATGTGGATCACCAAGCATAGTTACAGAAAATTAGTGATCAAATGGTAATTATGCAGCTAAGTGGAGCTCATTCTTTCATTTAATTGTATATACTTCTACCCATACTAAGGAAATCGTCATTAGTGTTAACCAAATGTCCATATTTACAAGGTGATTAATTCAAAATACTCCATTATGTAGAAGGAAGTATAAACACAGGAAAATAATTACCTGTCTATGACCGCTGCTTCCATCAGGACAAATGCAGCCACCCTACAAATTTTTTTAAAAAGAGGAAACAATTATTGCTTTGTGGAAATTTAAAATAAAATCTTATTTCAGATGCAAAACTGTTTAAGGGAAGAAAGTCTGTGGGACTGCAGAGGTGTGACCTTTGCTGTACCTAGAACAAGTGAGGGGACAGCACAGCTGTACAGTTAACCTTTGCTTTGGAAGCCAGTCTGATAGCTCATCTCTCAGTGGGATATCTCAATGGCAGATGCCTCAGCAAGAGAGAAGTTTCAGGTCAGGAGTATCCCATTGAGCTATCACCCGTAAAACACATTATATTGAAACAGTGCTAAAAAGTTATTTCAGACAGCCATTTCTGATAAATTTAATATGAATAGGGTCACTTCATTTACAAATTAATGGATAGCATCACCAATCTTCCAATGTAAAATTACTTAAATTCCTATTTCTGAATTTAATTAGTTTAATTACTTGGAAGCTATCTGAACAAGACTAGCTCAAAATAAAGAAAATCCTGACCTGATTACTTGATCCACTGGTTGCAATAAATGATCCACCCTGTGAAGGAAACAATTATGTTTTATTAAAGCATTTTATTAGAATCTAAAGTATAAAACTAAATAGTGAAAAACGCTATTACAAACTCTATTACTTCCCTGCACCAATTAACATAACCTTTTGAATTATTGTGAAAATATAGATTTGGATGAAACCTAATTAAGTGGCTTGATACAATTCACAGGGAATAGGCATTAGGGAAACTAATTAAAGAACCTTCCAGAGCTCACAGATCTGTCTGCAATATTGAATTAAACTTCAAACTCTCTGAGACAGAGGACTATGCTACTGTTAAATCTACTTAATACTGGGTGTAGCAGGATTTCAAACTCCTGGGAAGCTGTTGGGTACAAATCCAAGATAGTAAGAAAAGCAGAACAAGGTGCCACTCTGCATCAGTTAAACTTCACATTAATTCTCTAATATAAACACTGCTGCAGCAGTACATAATCCTACAGAATATGAAAGTTGGACCTACTTTTGTAACAGAAGTATGTAATCCCTAAGATGTACCTACTTACCAAATGCAAAATGAAACTATGTATGGCCATTACAATCAAGAATGCAAAAATGTTTATAAAATAATAATCTGAAACTATATAGTTCACGTTTTTCAAACTAATTTTACAGAATGTTATGCAAAGAAACACCTGCAATTCTTATCTGCTTAGTGGGGTGAAGGAATAGAAGAATCTGTGTATTGTAAGCCTAATATCACTGTTTACAACTGTGCAAAATTATAACATTATAGGGAAAATGCTGTCAAATCAAAACAGAATCCTTCAGCCCAGAAAAATTACTGGAATATAACTTTCAAAATGAAACATAATTTATCAGAAAACTCCTTGATATCATACAGTTGACACTAGATTACTACCTGCATGTCAGAGTGGCTGCTATTTGAAGAAGATGCATTCTGTAAAGAAACAAAAAAAATGACAGGTGTCTGTAAGGGTAATAAAATAAAATGCATAGTTCTATTAGGAAAAAAAGCTACCTAACCCTAAAGAGAATCAGTTCTTTTTTGTGGACACTAGATCCTTCTGCTTTGTAGGTAATACACAAGGAGCTATAAGCTTACTACTACCAGCAGTAGCTCAGAAAAAGGGACAGGAATAGTTTACCTGTACATCATAGGCTCTTCTGCTTAAAACATGTGATGTGTCCTGTTAAAAAACAATAACATTTACAATTAGAAGATGAAAATTCCATGATCAGTGATAGGGTTTTTTTCCCTTCCATATTATTTCTTTATAATATCTTTATAAGTGCTCCAGACCCATTATTGTATACATTGAGTAGGAAAGCATAATTATAAAATAAAGGCTATTTGCACATAGTTTTTATAGGCTACTGCTGAGTCTGACTTGCAACTATACAATACAGGTGTCTGTATCTCCTACACAACTAGTGAGCATAATAAATTAAGAAACACTATTATTTCTTACTTATTATTCTGTCTTCCTTCAGCTAAAATGTTGGCTGTTCTTGTTTGTACGATACTCATTTAATTTTAACTTAAGCTTGGACCAACTCTGTATATGCTTAATGAAGAACAGAAATTTGAGCTGCCCTATACTTCAAAGCATGATTTTCATGTATTTTTTTTTTTCATACAAATACCTCCTTTAAAGAGATTCATCCAAAGACCAAACACCCAAGTAATTTTATTTTACTTTTCCCTTATGTAGGAGGGTATTAACTACTATAAACCTGACTAGAGAAAAGATAGGTATAATTAAGACAGATTAGGTATAGCTGGGACTAAAATCCTACAAACAGGCAAAAAGTAGAAGAAAAAAAGTATTACTTACTCGGGCAACAACAACTTTCTTCTTTGTACAACCTGAACGCTGCAAAGGAGCCACAAGCCTGTTAGTGCTTTATAGCTGTAGTTGTCTACATTAAATATTTTAGCAAAAATCTACTACTTCACTGTCAAGGTGATGTTTGGAAAAAGCAAAAAAGGCAAATGTCTGGAGATTTCCTTTTATCAGCAGTAAGAGTATTTAAAAGCATATTCTTTTTCTGTTTTCAGTTTCTCTCTTCCAACAGAAGTTCCTGCTTAGGGGAGTCTCCCTCAGCTGTACCACTGTAGTTTAGTATACAATCGGTATAAGGATCCTTTCTCTCTCTCTCTCCTTTTTTGTTTTTTAAAGTTTTTAGCATTCCCTGTCCTTCGTTGTGAGAAAATTTAGAAGCCAACTCTTTTACCATGCAGTCCAGCCATACAGACTGGATGGAGATAACCAAGGGAATACTAACATCTTTCATGAACAAAGGAGGAAGTGAGGAGGCTCCTAAACAGAGCTTGCTGATGAAGGATTTTTTTTTCAGAACATTTTGAATTGAACCTAGTGCAATGCATTCAGGGTAAATACAAGCCAAAACAAAAGATGTTTTCATAAGGCCTCTGTACTTTCTAAAATAAGTTTGGTGCAGTACTTAAGTCCTACAGAGTTAAAATAGGGAAAACAAAGAAGCAGAATAGTGAATGGCTGAGAACTGAAAAGGCAAGTAGCTGATGACAGGTTACTCTAGACGGCAGTAAAACAAAAGGAGGCTGTGACAGATGGAATAAGCTTCATGAACAGAAACAAATAGAGAAAATGTAATTTATTTACACAATAGCGTATTTGCTTGGTCACAATCTATTCATGTTAATCACTGTTTCTGCTTGTAAGACAGATGGAAAATCTTGACAGAGAAAGTAATAGTGGGTAATACCAGGCACAAATGTTATTTTACAACAGCAGCACGTAAGTAACATTAAATCTGAACAAGTGAGAAAAGCTTGAGATGGCTACATGTCTCATGTACACAGGTGGTTAATTCCCAAATTATCCAGTCAAAGTAGATCAATTTTGAAGAAAATGTATATCTTATTAGAAGTAATTGTGCAGCAGCCTTGAGTACTGAGAAATCATTAACTTTTTGAAGAGTATTATAAAGCAATCATATACTAAAAGTCTAATATAGAAGTGTTCAGTTACTAACACTGTCATTAATCATTAGAATTTGAACACTACAGAACAAACAAAGTGCTTACCTGACTATTGGCACTATAGGTTATGTCATTCTGGAAAAGAATACATGATTTCCTTTTTTTAAGAATTATTTAAATAAAGTAAGCTTAAAGAAAACAAATTGTTTCTGATGCTACATACAGACATAGCAAAAATTACTTATTGCTCCCATTCTCCACAGTTTTGTCTAAATTAGTTTGAAATTCTACCATTCCAAACTGAAAAACATTGTAATAACATTAATGTAAAATGCACCCTTAGATTTGACAAAAATATCTGTTACTACAAAGCCATTGAAATATTTTTATTCATATTTCATTTCATCAAGTTAAAAGCATTTAAAAACACTATCTGTATCTGTAAATATATATGTGAAAATTTTCAGCAAGAGGCAGTTGCTGAAACAGCTGTTAGTGTGGAAACTCGGCATTTTTTTGGATCATTTTGCTTCAAAGACTGCATCTAGCAGAGCAATATTTTCTCATCTACATGAAAAATGTTGTGGTGAAAAATATAGTAATGAAAATATATTAGGGAAAGCATACTCACATCATCACAAGCATTGGGATTACTATCATATGAGGAATCTTGTGACTCCTAGAAGGAGATAAGATACCAGTTATTTCCTCACAAAAATTAATTGCTAAAAATGCACTTTCATGTTTATTTTACAAGACAGAAGAGATGCTCATGCAAAGAAGAAGCTGAGTCAAATTTAATTAGGGTCTTTATAAGACAAAAAGGAGCCAAATCCATAGTTGCAGTAGTAGCTGACAGGGAATGTTCCAATCTTCAGTAAAGAAAAAAAACCCCAGCAAAACAAATCTAAACCACAGAGAGCGCAGAAAAAATTATGTTTTATTAGATCTTTGAGAAAGTTGATGCAGGGACTACAAATAATATGTAACTAGGAGAAAGAAATAACTACTTACCTGACTGTCATAATAGGTGTCTGAGGATGATCCACCCTTTAAAAGAAACAAAAAAACCAATCAAAATTGGAGAAAGTTAGAATATAGAAAACCTGATTTTGAGCAGAGGCTAAAGTTTATATGAAGAGATGTGTAAGTAGTGAAATAGAGTATTACTTACTTGGCCACCACCATAGTTTTGTGAGTAGGATCCATCCTATGAAACAAACAAATATAAACTCTATTTCAGAAGAAACTGTGATTTGGTTCAGAGGCTGTAAAGCTAGAATAAACAATTTCCTAGGTTGTTTTGAACAAATACAATTTTCAAGACATTTGGATAAATTATCAAGTATTATAAAAATTCTTATCAGGAGAAAATCTGGTAAGGTTTTCTCTTACTGTCTACCTACCTGGTTGTCACCATAATTTTGGGAGTATGATGATCCACTCTGCTAAGAAACAACAACAACAAAATAATTAGAATTTAGATTACCATATTGCTGATCAGATATTGATCAGTCATCACAGAAGTTAAAACCATCATAAAACCTCTGTGGTGAGGCAATACTTACTTGGCTACCACCATAGTTTTGTGAGGAATATGAACCACCCTGTGAAAACAAAACAGCAATAGTCATAATGCTGGAAAGCTGAATTTTATCTGAAAGCATACAGCTGTCCTAAGTTGCTGAGTTCTATGGAAGTTCTATGCAACTTCCACTTTCATGTAAGTGGAATTTCAGAGCTAATAAAAAGTATGTTTGCGGAGAATGACTTACAGACTGGACACTGAGAGACTCTGCAAGAATCTATATCCCCATGCGCAAGAGAATTGTAGTGTGGATTAGATTTGCTTTAAAAGTTTTTACCAATGGATAATAAAGATGTACCCACCTGACCACCCTGTGATCCACCCTGTAAATCAGACAAAAATGCTTTATAACTCATTGTTTGGCCATGGAATATTTTTGAAAGCTATGATACTTGCTTAGGAAGAGTAAGAAGCAGAGGCAGATATACAATATGGATATTATTTCTAATGTAATGAGCACAGATTGCCAGTAGTGCAATGGTAAATACTAGATGAGACATAAATCAAAGAAGTCAAACATCTAACTTTAATGTCTAGTGCACAGATGAGTTCCATTCTGAACACTCTCTAGAGAATGTATCATTTTTTTTCTGCTATAGAAAACCTAATTTATACAAATGGAATGAATTAATACAAATTCCCCTGGTAGCATTATTACACAAAGCTGTGACCTTTGAGATACAGTGGCCTTGAGGAAAAGGTTTTAAATAAAACACACAGTATGTTTCAATGTGCCCTCTTTATAGAGGAATGTAACTCCTTGTAGTGAAATCAGAAAAGACATTTGTAGAAGTTTTAGTGTCAAATTTGCATAAATAGAATAGTGAAATAATGAACTATTGAAGTAAGTGGGATATTTTCCATTCTCTAAAATGGGACTGAGGCTTCATTCAGAACACTGAATGAAAAATTAAATGAAAAGTATTATCTTTCAATGTCCTAGAAGATTTTAGAATAAAATTTAAGCATTTTCTTTAGTCTTAAAAAGAACTAAGTCCTCTTAAAAAATTAAAAGCTATTATAAAATAATATCTACCTATTTAATATATAATTCTGTCAAGTTACAATAATATATTACGTACAGTGCATTGTATATGCTGTACCACATTATAATAATATATTGTAACAACATCGATATTGTTTGCATACTTATACATATAGTAAGTATTTATATTCTATATATAAATATAGAATATATTTTTATATATAGTATATATATATAATAATGCTAAAAAACAGCATTTGTTGAAGCAATTAATCTGTCCAATTTTACTGTTTCTTGTGAAAACTCAGTAATAATCAAAAGAAGTATCATGAATAAAAAGGAACTGATCTGTTGCCATTTTCTGCTTAATTTTTAACATCACAGATGACTTCTTTAAACCTAGCTGACATCTTTTAGGATAGTGGTTTGTACAGCTCCACTTGTAACAAATACACAGGTGGCTATCTATAGTTCACTGCACAAACTCAGTTTGTTTCTGGGACCTTGAATGGCGGTTCTAAAATATTTTCTGGATTTTGACAGGAAGAGAGAAGCTGGTGAGCTCCAGCCTTGATTTAAGTCATGCCAGTGGAACAACTCTGCAGCAAACTTCTTCTTTCCAGAATCTGGCCTTAATGTTCTATAGAATTAAATATTTCAAAATGTAATGCTAGGAAAAAGTGGCAAAAAAGACTTCAAAGCCCCCGTGACGCTCCTGTGAATAGGAAGATAGTGAATTCTAATCTCAAAATGTATAAGATTACATGGATTTGTGCAATATGAATCTGAATTTGGAACGAATTGGTTTAGTGGCAAAACTAATTTCTAATGCATCCTAAAATAAGAGGAGAAAGACCATTTACCTGGTGACAGGGATTGCTATCATAGGAGACACCCTGTCAAAAAACAACCAAACAAAAAGGTAAATGACATTTTTCTTGCAAAGTAATTAGCTTCCTTAAATTTTCCTAAGTGAGAATCAGTGTAACGAAACTCAACATATAACTTTACAGAGGGTGAGTTTAATTTTACTTAACCCTTTAAGTGGGTGGCTTTACCCTCTGTCACTCTCATACCCCCATACAAGCATCAAGACACTTGCACATAGATGATCAAAGAAATACTTGTGAGCCACATGGAAAGAGGTAGGTTGATAATTGATGTCCATCTGCATCATCCTAGTTCCTCTTGATTGGTGAAGATGAACTGCTGGTGGGGTTTTTTGGAAGTAACTGTTACAGCTGGGTGACCATCTATCTAAATGTGACCATCAATCTCAGGCTAGATTCACCACCATGGATTTTAGGCAAGGTTTCTGTTCAGAGCAATTCATTTGCCTGGGTATATTTTGTGAGAAAAGGATGAAGAGTACGCAGAGAGAGTTCTTCCCTGTTTTTCACCCTCCCATGATTACAGCAATTCTTTTGATAAGTCAGCCTGTGACACCACATAGTGGAAATCACCCATTCTTCAGTGTTTATCAGTTTCATTGCTGGTAACTGTGTCCTTGTTGTACTGCTCCTTGTGATGCTTTCAGATGCATTTCCATTCATGCCGAACTCACATCAATCCTAATACTTCTAAAAACGCCTGGTTTCATACTTATCTTTCATTCTGGTTGATTTGGTCAATATGTTTATTCAAAGGTAAGTTTACTATTGGCCTCATTTATGCTGTTTTCACCTAGGATCTCATCATCGAAGACAATGTCTTTACACCATTTTAGACATACAAGTTGAAATGGAACCAGGACGAAAACTACTAATCTAATTCTTACTCCATTTGAGCCACTCTCCAATCCTATCATTTTCTAGAGAAAATAAATGGAGTAACATCCAAAAATTCCTGTGCAAAGATTTTATATTCTTATTGAGGAGACAGATGAACTGTTTGTTTTCCATGTGTAACTCTAAATGGGAGGAGCCACTTCATATGGGTTACAATGGCAAACAATATCAGCATTTCTTGAACTCTGTGCTAGATAAGTTCACATAACAATGAAAACAATAGATTTCAAACTAAGAAACATTATAAAAACATGTTATTATTGTAAAGAAAACTCAGTCTGGTTTTTAAACAGTTTGGAGAAAACATCTTACTTGTCCACAACCACTGCTGCCACCATAAGAAACAGATCCGCCCTGCTGGGAAAAAAAAGAATAGCTCATGATCCAAATATTCCTATTCTCCTTGTATTTTAAACACATACATGAATTTTCAATGGCTTTAGCTGTCAGACTTCTTCAAACCCAACTATATCCTACTGTGTATTATCTGGTAAAGTGCTGAGTATGTTGAATACTAAAGTGCATCAGAAAGCTGACACCTGCATGCACTCCTTTCTACGGGGGAAAATGATGCTCCAGTGAGACTATTGTTGCCAGAGCCATGTGAAAAAAAAATTATGGGACTTAATTCTAAAGAGTTGCTTACTATATTATTTCAAGTAACAAACCACAGAATTCTCAATACGTATATGGGAACATCACATACATGCTCTACAAATGACTGACAATTACCTGTCCATAGGAACTGCCACCTTGAGACTGGTAACCCTGTAAGAAAGGCACAAATTCATTTGTAAAAAGAGCTGTGTAAGTATAGTCCCAGCACAGCAGCAGCAACAGAATCACAGAATACCAGAAAGAAAAGCCCACTTCCATTAAAGGTCCTCTGTACTATGCTATTTTTACTCTCATGCTATTTCAGTGGTACAAACCAAGTCAAGGACCTCTCAGAAGGAAAAAAAAAGCCCACACCCCAAAGCTCATTTATAGGACAGGCTCCTACAGAAAAGCTCAGCACATTTCAGCAGCAAAATCTCACCTGGCCATAGGACTGGCTGCCTTGGGAACCCTTTAAATAAACCTTGGGAACCCTTTAAATAAAGAAGAAATAATTAACACCTTGACAAGGAGGCTTCTTTAAAGAGCATGATGCATATGGAATTGCTCTGGCCAAAGGACACAGAGCAGTATGCTAAGAGCTGGACATCTGTGCAGCACATTGCCCTACTCTCAGCAGCAGCCACAGCTCAAGTTGAGGCACAGACTGCCAAAAGAAACATCACTCTCAAAAGTCTGCCAGTCATGCCAGAGAGATCAGTGAAGAATTTCCTGCAGAGCAGCCAGTTGGCTTACCTGGCCATAGGAGCTGCTGCTGCCTGAGAAACTTGGTCCACCCTAAGACAAGGACACCATTTGGTTACTTCCCTTTCAGGAAGGGATCCAGCCCGCATTAGCAACAGCAAGCAACTACATCCTAAAGCCATGCAGGGCAGTATGCAGAGCCAGGCGTCTTCTGGCTCTCAGGAGAATGCCACTGGCATTCCAGATCAACAAGTAGCATATGCATAAATGTTGAGTGAGAAGAGACACTTTCAGAGACAATGTTGTTTAAAGTTCAGATTGTGAAGGCCTGCTAAGTGCTTTTATGGTGCTTCATTTCTGAAATGCTCAATTCTGACTGGTGACGGACTGATGCTTACCTGACCATAGGAACTGCCACTTTGAGGTCTGTAGCCCTGTATGAAATTAATGATTGATTCATAGTTATTGTATATGTGAAGCAGATGCCTCTCTAATGTCTATTTCTGGGGTAAGAAAACAGAACAAGACTACTGCTTAACTGGAGTTACTTTGATATTTCTTATTCTGGAGAAATAGTTGATCACAGTGTGTTTACTAAGTGACAATCATAGAGCAGAGTGACATCTGTCTGAGACATTATTCTAATCTTATGAGAGTTTTCCAGAAAGGGACACAATATTTTCTTATTATATTTATTTTTCCTTCTGTTTTTCAGCCAATGGGATGAGATGGCTAATGTTGCATACTAGGTAAATATTGATTTCATGTATTCATATTTTTCCTTGGCCCCAGTTGCAAAATTCCTGCCTCTGAAAGAAAATCAGGGTGAAAAATAATTTTTAAAAATTAGAAAATAATCTTAGAAAAAATGTAGGTTCATAAAATGTAAACAAACCAATGCAATCCAAAGATGGAATAAATTTGCCATGGATGACCACACTTTTAAAAATATTATCAGTAATATAAAGGTATTGTGGTTGCAACTTGCTGTTGCAATTTGCTTTCAATATAATCTCAAAAAAGAGCAGTTGTTTCATGTACATGCAGACCTGTGCCCAGCTGCCTGGGAGAGTTACGAAAACAGGGATTACCAAAAAGTATTTGAAGTATCCTGTCTATCTTTGTTATCTGACATAGAGATTCTGACAAAATTAATAGCTGTTTTAGGGCTGCTTTAATTTACACAAAAAATGTGAAGGGAGGTAGACATTCATTGCCTGCAGGCTCCAAGACCAACCCTTCATTCAGCTGAGAACCTGACCCCATGTTCTGCAGTTTCTCAACAATACTTCTCTGCTGAGAGCAAAGGAGGCAGCAAGAACTGACTATAAATTTGTGACATCAACTGGAATGGGAACATCATCAAAAAGACTATTTCTACCACAAATTTCTGAAGTTTCAAACCCATGGTTAAGGTAAGATAGCAGAAGAAATCTAGGATTCCTGTATCTATCCATGAAAATCACAATGAACACATTCCCAACAAAATATTTTAAATGGATTCAGAGATACATTGGTTAAGAATTCCATATGAATTGAAAACAGAACATTTTTAAATCTGGTAACTTTTCAGGGCAATAGCACTTCACATTCCCAAATGTTCTATTCTGACTGACAATTACCTGTCCATAGGAACTGCCACCTTGAAGCTGGTAGCCCTGTAAGAAAGGCACAAATTCATTTGTAAAAAGAGCTGTGTAAGTATAGTCCCAGCACAGCAGCAGCAACAGAATCACAGAATACCAGAAAGAAAAGCCCACTTCCATTAAAGGTCCTCTGTGCTATGCTATTTTTTCTCTCATGCTATTTCAGTGGTACAAACCAAGTCAAGGACCTCTCAGAAGAGGGGAAAAAAAGCCCACACCCCAAAGCTCATTTATAGGACAGGCTCCTACAGAAAAGCTCAGCACATTTCAGCAGCAAAATCTCACCTGGCCATAGGACTGGCTGCCTTGGGAACCCTTTAAATAAAGAAGAGATAATTAACACCTTGACAAGGAGGCTTCTTTAAAGATCATGATGCATATGGAAATACAGATGCATGCAGAATTCCCTGAAAGGTTCTTCCTGTGCTAAAGGACACAGAGCAGCATGCTAAGAGCTGGACATCTGTGCAGCACATTGCCCTACTCTCAGCAGCAGCAGCCACAGCTCAAGTTGAGGCACAGACTGCCAAAAGAAACATCACTCTCAAAAGTCTGCCAGTCATGCCAGAGAGATCAGTGAAGAATTTCCTGCAGAGCAGCCAGTTGGCTTACCTGGCCATAGGAGCTGCTGCTGCCTGAGAAACTTGGTCCACCCTAAGACAAGGACACCATTTGGTTACTTCCCTTTCAGGAAGGGATCCAGCCCGCATTAGCAACAGCAAGCAACTACATCCTAAAGCCATGCAGGGCAGTATGCAGAGCCAGGCGTCTTCTGGCTCTCGGGAGGATGCTGAGTGTGAGGATTTCACACACTGGCATTCCAGATCAACAAGTAGCGTATGCATAAATGTTGAGTGAGAAGAGACACTTTCAGAGACAATGTTGTTTAAAGTTCAGATTGTGAAGGCCTGCTAAGTGCCTTTATGGTGCTTCATTTCATAAATGCTCAACTCTGACTGGTGACGGACTGATGCTTACC